TAGGCATGAAGCTCATTACTATGGATACGGCTCTGAAAAAAGCAGCCAAGATCTCTGCTGAGATTCATGGAAGTTTTATTTCAGAGTCTAATACATTCAGACATGGAAACTAAGCTTAGGAGATTTTTCATGAGAGGAAAAATTCAGATGACTGATTATCAGGACAGGATAATGTCTGCAAGACATTCTGCAAATAGACTGATCTTTGAATGAGGGAGTTTTTGAAACACTTGTTTCATTTATTCATTCAACAACTCATCTTGCTTTGTGGGGCAGGGGCAGGGGGTACGAGCTGGAAACAGACATAAACTCTTAACAATCTATAATAGAAATACAGCTCTACTGTTAGACAGAAAGCGGTGAGTGCCGCAGGAGAGACACAGATAAAGAATTTTGTATGTTCATAGGAGACAGAAATTATTCCCAGTTCAGGGATGAGGATGGGGAGGAGAGTGAAGTGAAATGTAGAGATAATGGAAAAATCAGTAGAATTTGACCTGTACCTGCAAGGATGAGTTCGATAATTCTGCATAAGCTTGCTCACCATTCCCAGCAGGGCTCCTGTTTATCTTCCCTGCTAAATAAATTACATATATGAGCAAATCTTCTCCATTCTTTAAATGTTACTTCTGTGACATATAGTAATTAAACTATAAGTTTAGCTTAAGCAGGACTCATTGTTTTTCCTTTATCTTATATCAGTTTACCTCCCTGTCTCTTTTTACACACACACACACACACACACACACACACACACACTCACAACCACTCATACACACTCTCTGTTCTCTTGCCACGATTTTTCCCTTCTTATTTACACCTAAACAGTCAGGGGTAGTTCGATTTGAAAAACAGGTGCTCACAGTGGGGCTACTCCTTAAGATGGTCTCATAGCCTTAAGCTAAACTTTTATTCCCCTGAATTAATAAGTAAGGGAGTTCTTGAAGTTTAGTGACGTAAAATTAAGGAAAATCAGAATAATTCTATCATAGATCAGTTTCCTAAATCCTTGACCCACTCTGGCCACTGGATTTATTATTTAAATAGGACATGAAAGAAAAAAAAAAAACCTGTAGTAATATAATCAGCGCTACCTTAATGGCCCCAGTAAAATGATTCTGTTTTAACAAACCCAGCAAAGTGAGTGTTTATATGCTTGGTAGTCTTATTATGAGCCTAAAGAGATCATTTTAAATTCTCATATATGTCATAGTAATTAATGCATTTAGAAAACTAGTAGTAAGATAGTCATGGATTCCAATAATTTTATGTACATTTGAAGTGTTCACTTTAAAAAGCCACAGTTCAAGTGGTTTTTTTGGTTTTTTTTTTTTAACACTTTTTGATTGCCTGACATTCATGGGGCAAACGCCCAAACGTGCATGTTGTGTATTTAAGCTGCACAGAAATTTAAAATGAAAAACGATGCCAGGAAATTAAAACCCAGACACCACTGCATTATCCTGAAATCTCACACAGTGCTCTAATAAGGCCTAGATACTCGAATTGTGCTCTGTTGAACAAAAAGCTCATGGGTCATTTAACTTCCTGATAGTTTCATATTCAGAATGAGATATGCCAATAAAAACATAATGAAAATATTAAACACATTGTATTAGATGAGATTACCCCCAGAAAAAAAGGGCAAAGAAAAATAAAACCTGAAAAAAATGAGACTTGTTTAAGCGATGTTGAGGCGCCTCCTGCTGGCATATCTGTGTATTACCCAACTCTACCCACATTCCTTGACTTTTTTGGTAAAATTTGGTTGACTCATTTCTTTGGGGGTATAAATTATTTCTAAATTTTACGTTTTTATATATTTCTCTTATAGTTTCTATGCTTAAATAGGTAGGTTTTTGTTGTTGTTTTACTTGAGATGGTGTAAAGGCAAGTTAAACTCATTCTCCAGTTTCTTCCATGCTTCTTAGTTTGTCAAACTTTTCCTTGTTTCCCTTTGCTCTGTGAACTTTTCATCATTCTCTGTCTGGCCATTCTGTCCTTCTTCTGAGGGCCATGGCTTTGTTTTTTTAACCAATGGGTCTCACTTCCTGTGAGGTTTGGGTTTTGTCAGACTTGGCGACAGCCCTTCTGTGACATGCCTTTGGCTCTTTTTGCCTGCGACTTCCCTCGGTGGTGTCCAGCAGAGCCGCCAGCCACAAGCTGACTCCTCTCTGCGGTTCTGGAAGGTGAAAGGCTTATGTACATTAGATCGTCCTCTTTCTCCATGAACTGTACAGTCAAGGATTTAAGATATGTCAACTTTCTCATCTTCCA